TTTTTGTTTTTGGTATTCAATGGGTCCCTATTGACAAAGAGCCACCTGTTCAAAAAAATGCAACAAAAAGTGTAATCTCACTTGTAGCCAGTACAAGGCCTTTTTACTGTTTGAGCTCTAGACATACCTCCACCTGACTTTAAAAATACCATAATAACAAATAAATACAAAACCTATGCCCATTTTTCATACACAAATCATAGCCATCTTGGTAATCCCTTCCCTCTCCTAAAGGATAGAGTCTGCCCTGATACTACACATGCACTCAGATATATGAGTGTGTGGCCCATTCTGGAGCTTTTGATTTTCATATGAAAAGGGTTTAGAGAAAGTCTAATTCTGATCAAACAAAAGCACTGCATGAGGTGGAACTCCTCCTCCAGTCATGTTACTGCCACAGAAAGCTGCCATTTGCTTCCTTTTGAGTTTTAGTTTTAGGGGAATGCAGGATATTAATTAATTAATATTTAGGGAACACAATATAGATTTGAAACGGCACAATAGTCTCCTTTCACAGTAGCAGCATTCTAATCAAAACAGGCACATGCTGACTTATTTTAAATTATAAACAGGAGCATTGAGATATCTGATCTCCTGCATCTTGTACACAGTAGTTTGAATCTTAACATTTGTATCAGATAGTGACTTTTAAATAAACAGCTCCATATCTATGCTGTGTTAAAAATATGAATTCTTTGACTTCACAATTTACAAAATCTCAGAGTATTTGTGAAAATTACCAAAAATGGCCTATCATTGGCATCTAATGTCAGAAAAAATAGCAAAAATATATAAGAACAACAACCATAGTTCCTGGAAATGTGAAACCACAAAAGGATCTTGGATCCACACATGGTGGCACTGTCAAAATATAAAAGACTTCTGGAAAAATATACACTTATAGATATGTAAGATCCTAAAAGTAAACTTTAAATTAATACCAGAAGTTTATCTGTTAAACTTGACAGACAAAATATTGGACTAGCAAGCAAGAAAGAAATGGAAACAAATCTTATACATGATTACAACACCTAGGATTAGCTTTGCAAAATTTGGAAACAAAAAGAAATACCAGATATTGACGAGTGGCTAATTGATTTATTAGATGTCACTCAGCTAGAAAAATTAACACAAATATTAAATGGAAAATCTACAGATAAAGCCGAGAAAGAATGGGAAGAATTAATAAAGCTCTGTAGAAACAAATGGAAATAACAGATTAACAGTCAAATGTTAAAAGAGATAACATAGGGCCTCTACAGATGGGAGGCTGTGGGCTGCCCTGTGAAGCTGAGGAGTGGGGCAGCCTCGGCCCCAATCCACTGTTCGGCTGGCCCTGGAAGGAGCACTAAAATAGTGCTCCTTCCTAAAGGTGCAGAAAGGGTGCCAGAAGAGGTGGTGCGCGCCTCTTCTGCATCTCTTCCAGAAGGACGTCATAGGAGCGCTTGCCATATGCAACAGCGAGCGCTCCGATGACATCCTCAGGAAGGGGTTGGGGTGTCTGGCTGCCCCTCCCCTTCTTTGGCTTGAAGACGGTGCTTTGCGCCGTCTGCAAAGCCCCATAGATTGCAAACTTTCAACTGAAAATAAGAAAGCAAATAATAAATGAAAAGACTTACAACATCTTCAATTTAAGAGAAGTAGCTAAGTTTAAACAATTTAGTTTACATCAACTAGAGGAACATATGGTGTCAGTTTAGAAGATATGATAGAAGATAGAAGAAAAAGAATAGTATAAATGCTTTAATGTCTTTAATAGCTTCTGTTCACTGAGCAGATAGCATATATAAAGTGATTAATTCTTTGTTATTATTATTTTTATCTATCATTAATTCTGTATATTTGGTAAACGTCTTGCAAAGTTTATGGCAATAACATATAGGTAATGTTAAAATATGTCTTTTTGTAATAAAAAATAAAGTACAAAAATACAAGTTCTTTGCTATATTAATACTATTTCAATTATAGATAAAAGGTTTGAACTAGGCAGTGACTTGCAGATTTTTATTTAAATTGAAGGGATGGAACACAAATCATTTGTGGAGTGTATGTTTTACATCAAGGGTGGACAATTGAAGAGGGGCAGGGGTTATTTTGCACCCCCACAACTCTCCTGGAGCCACACCTGTGCATTCAAAGTGACTAGCTGGGTGTATATTCAGTCAAGGTTTGGACCTTTTCTGGGGGGGTGAGGGTGTAGTTGCTTCTATAGATATGTGAACATCTTACATGATTGTGAGGGCCAAATTGATGCATTTTCCAGCATTTTAAAGCTACTTTCAGTGTTTGGGAAGTGAAAGGTTGCCTCCCCCAATTTTTAAAAACTCTGCTTGAAGTATTGGAGAGTAACTTCAGCAACACAGCACTTAACTAGCTTTTCTGTCTGCGTGTGTCAGAATTCTGTTATTATCTTCTGTTGGGGGAAAATCTTGAAAAAAAAGATGTAACATTTTATTAAATGTTTGTTATCTTTTTAAAAATTTGAACAGCCTAAGTCCCTGAGTACTTGAAACAGTGTACACATAAGTTAAAAATGAAATAATATGAGAGAGTAGTAAAACAATTACAATGGAAGCACTCAATTTAATATCAGAGCAAGTGACACATTCTCAGCCTCGGGGGAAGGCAATGGCAAACCTCCTCTGAACAAATCTGGCCAAGAAAACTCATGAAAGGGTCACCTTAAGTTGGAAACAACTTGAAGACACATAACAAGCAAGATAAAACAAGAGCAGTGATAAAACAGCACAACCCATGGTGAAAGCAAAAATAAGATCAACAATAGGAATAAAATAATGCAAATATCTAAAACTATAAGAGTTCTTTAAACATATAGCAAAACAGAAAATTACTCTCCTACTGTCCCTCCCAGCTCTCCTGCTCTCTTCCAGCTGCTCACTTTCCTTTGCCCCCGCAAATGAGGACCTCAGATGATGACTTTAAAGTTCATTAACTAAACATGGAAAAAGTCAGGTAACCTAACCCCAAGTTTCTTAAGTTCTTAATGGCTAAACTCAAGGAGGGCTGGCAGTCAGTGCAGATTGCAAAGGACAGTATAATATGATAGTGTTGGTAAAACAGTGTAGCATAGTGGTTTGAGCATTGGACTACAACTCTGGGGATCAGGGTGCAAATCCCTGCTCTGCCATGGAAACGCATTGGGTGATCTTGGACAAGCCACCCTCTCTCACCCTCAGAGGAAGACAATGGCAAAGATTGGTTTTTGATGGTGGTTCACATTTTTTCAGGAAACTACATCTCCAGTGGACAAAACACTAGACTGCAGGAATTCTGCATTTGAGTCTACAGTTTCCAGCCAGGAAAAGTTGGATTTCAATCAAAACTTAAAAGAAGGTAAGAGGGGTTTAAAAACATTTTTTTAGCTTCTGCTTCCCTGATTCAGATTTCCTTTCAGTTCACAAAGGTCATAACTTTGCAGCAGAACATGCTTTGTGTTCATCGGACCCAAACCTCAGTCCTTGGTACTAATTAAAGTCTCTCAACTTGCAAAGCTATGAAAGATCCTGCTTGAGGTCTCTTATGAAGATACTGACAGTGGAAGTTGAAGACACTAAGCTTGGCAAGCAATTGGACTGACTAGGTGAAAGGTATAAAAAGAAATATAGCAGTACTTTTAACTGGCTTTAATTTTTGCATTAACTTTGGTTGATATAAGCCCACTTCTTCAGGTGCAGTACAGAATGATATTAAAGCCTCAGGTTATAAAGCATGATACATTTACACAGTTGCATGAGTCAGATAGAATGTAATAGGATCAAGAAAGATGCAAATCATGGCCCTCTCACTAAATTTTCAAAGAGCTACCTAAGGTGATATAGGTCTTTCAGATCTTTACGGTGGTCTGTTTTGATATTTGAAAGCAATAAATCTGCTTGCCAAAAGTCAGTTTCCTTGGGTTCAAAATATTCTCTGAGGAGATTCCTTTTGTTATGTGTGCAGTAGCAAGGGCTCTTGTAATAATATAAGTAGTGTGCCATGAAACTATTATGTCGTTCATATTTCTGTTAATGGATTGGAATTTGTGAATATAATTCAATTCAGCTGTTTCTGAAGGTAGTTGCTTTGGTACTTTTTTATCGCATCCTTATTCAAGTCAATCCTTAGGGGCTACACATTATTATACACAAAATGTGAATAATAATGTTAGTATTTCAGACATGACTTGACAACCTTGTCAAAGGGGAATACCTTTACCTTTACTTTTATGTTCACATTACATTAAAACAAACAAACCTTTAGCCAAGTGTATAATGTCTTAAAAGAGGGAACAATAATAGATATATTAGAGCACACTTAATTTGTATTCAGCCCTAGGTTTTGTGAATCATGGGCTTAAGGTCAACTTGTGAATTTCTTAATTCACTAATTTCCTTGGCTTTTGAAAGATTGCTCTTCAATGAGGCAAACTGGTTTTCATTTGTATTATTCTCTATTACTAGCATATTGTTTACAGCAGGGGTAGGCAACCTAAGGCCTGGGGGCCGGATGCGGCCCAGCAAGGCCTTTGGACCGGCTCCAAACCGGTCCTGCTGCCGCCGCCCCCCCACCGCCGCCGCCCCCCCCCATGATGATATTGATTATTGTTGTTATTACTTGTTCTTGGGGTTTTCTTGGCAAAATCTTCACAGGGGTTTTGCCATGGCTTTTCTGGGGCTGAGAGAGTGTGCATGCATTTTTAAAAAAATTTTAATTCTTTTTTAATTTTTATTTTTATTTATTTATTTATTTATTTTTGGTGCTTCGGCCCGTCAGTTGTCTGAGGGACAGCAACCCGGCCCCCGGCTAAAAAAGGTTGCCTACCCCTGGTTTACAGCCTTTTCTGAAACTCTTTTCAAGCCACAATGACTTGTGATACTTTTTCTTTTCAAATCTCACAACCACTTCCACAATGGTCTTCTTCCAACAGTAATGCCGACCATTGAGAAACTATTGTCCAGTGACTGGAAAGAGAGACTCCTGGGGAAAAGTCCCATGGATTCCAAAGAAGTGAAAGGTAAGCAGTTGGCATAGCTTGACTGTGAGTCCTTTAGGAAGACAGCAATGAGGCATCCATTGGTCTGCCACGCAAAGGGCAGCATGTCCATGGACTACCTTCTTTCTGTTGTCTTTAAGGTTGGAACTATGACACTGGAGAAGTACAAGCTGAAAAACTTTCCACAGTATCATGGAAAAGGCTTGGAAGATTGAATATCCCTATTCAACTGTGACTTTGTCTCCACCTTTAGAGGAAAAATCTGAAAAATACTCTGGTCTCTGAGAACTTACTTTACTGATTTGATTTATATTCAAGCTTTCTCCCAAGATGAGACCCAAAGCTGCTTGCAATATAAGTAGAATCATAATGACTATAACAATATGTGGTTCAAAATAGGGTTGTTGCCTTAATATTGCAAAATTAGACTTCACATTTTCTTTCTTTTTCTCCTATTTTTCGGTTTTTGTATGGCCCAGGAACCCAAGAAAGCCTGGCAGAAAAGGAGTTGCAGCTGCTGGTCATGATTAACCAGCTGTCTATCCTTCGGGACCAGCTGTTGACAGCCCATTCAGAGCAAAAGAACATGGCAGCTATGTTGTTTGAGAAGCAGCATCAACAGATGGAGCTGGCCAGACAGCAGCAGGAACAGGTAGGCAGTAAAATGAACTGTATATGCCTTTCATAACCATCTTCAAAAGGTGATAAGAAAGCAGGACTGGAAATCTGAGGAACCTATATAAACCTGAACAGGGATCTTATCAATTGTGCCTTGAGCTAATAGGTTTAATTGCACCTTATATACCTCAAGTGACAGTGGAAAAGCAAAAAATAGAAATATTGCAGCTTAGGGAGCTGGGGATGTTTAGCCTGGAGAAGAGAAGGCTGAGAGGTGATATGATAGCCGTGTTTAAATATTTGAAGGGATGTCATATCGAGGAGGGAACAAGCTTGTTTTCTGCTGCTCCAGAGACTAGGACCCAAAACAATGGATGCAAGCTACAAGAAAAGAGATTCCACCTCAACATTAGGAGGAACTTCCTGACAGTAAGGGCGGTTCGAGAGTGGAACACACTCCCCCGGAGAGTAGTGGAGTCTCCTTCCCTGGAGGTCTTTAAGCAGAGGCTGGATGGCCATCTGTCGGGGATGCTTTGATTGGGAGTTCCTGCATGGCAGGGGGTTGGACTGGATGGCCCTTGTGGTCTCTTCCAACTCTATGATTCTATGATTTATATTGTGTGAGAAGCATAGTGAGGGAATAGGGACTACCCACATAGTGTAATATAAAACCCTAAACACTTAATGTTTTACTCCAACAAACCACATGCATGTTCAACATTGGAAAACACACCTGTACAAACTGAAGAAGTTTGCAAAGCTCATATGATATGATATAGTGATTAAAGAGATAGTGCTGGTGAGTCCAGAGAATTCACAGTTTAATCCAGGGGTAGGCAACCTAAGGTCCAGGGGCCGAATGCGGCCCCCCAAGGCCTTTGGACCAGCCCCAGGCCGGTCCTGCCACCGCCGCCGCCGCTGCCCACCATGATGATATTGATTATTGTTGTTACTTGTTCTTGGGGTTTTCTTGGCAAAATTTCCACAGGAGTTCTGCCATGGCTTTTCTGGGGCTGAGAGAGTGTGCATGCATATCTTTTTATTTTAAATTTTTTATAAAAGTTTTTTATTTATTTATTTATTTATTTATTTTTGGTGCTTCAGCCCCCTAACTGTCTGAGGGACAGCAACCCGGCCCCTGGCTCAAAAAGGTTGCCTACCCCTGGTTTAATCTGTCTTATCAAGCAAAGAATCCTGTGAAATATTAAAATGATCTAATTTTTGTGACTTGTGGCCTTTATGCAAGAAGAGGAATTTACATCATTAGTTTTGTCACCAAGGTGCTACCAAATTTAAGAGTGCAAACCTTCATAATTTTTAAACAGATCCCAAAGCTTAAGGTTTTATGAGGAAATAAAGTATTAGGATAGAACAACAATAAAAAGGCAAACTTTTTATTGGTCTGAGGGTTGAATTCTAGTTTGGAAAAGGACTAGGAAATGAATGGGTTACTGTCATCTTTCAGGTGTTGGGTCACAACTCCTAGCATTCCACATCATTGGATATATTGGCTAGGGCTGATGGAGGTTGTAGACAAATTGTGGTTCTCCAAACTGAGGTCCACAGCCCTCCAAAACTGCAGATTTTACACATCTCTGAAACCATGAAATGCTAGCATTTCTTGGTACCAATTTTGATATCACATTTTATACTGACAGTCTTGGTTTTTTTCCTCCTTGATAATTTTCCCTTCAAGGTTTTGTTGACACAGAGATTGAAATATATGTTCATTTATCTCCTACCCTAAATAATTTAGCCTAGCACTAACCCTAATCCTTAAAGTGGACTCAATTTGCACTATTTCTGGCAGTCTGCAAAGGCCCTGAGAGTGTTAGTGCCTTGTTTCTTATATAGCAGTTGTGATCAGCTACATAAATTAAATGTACAGATGAACTTGTTTGTTTTACCAGTGCCTGATGAACAGAGACCATCTCTTAGTTTGAGAGAGGGGAGTCATTCTGCTCAGATGGCCCCCAGCTAGAGACAACCTGCTTCTTCATTGCCTTTCCCTCTTGCAGATTGCCAAGCAACAGCAACAGCTTATCCAGCAGCAACACAAGATCAACCTGCTACAGCAGCAGATCCAGGTAAAAGGGGAGCTCTTTTTCCCTTGGGAATAGCCAGGAAGGATGTTTAACTGTGGTGTAAGCTTGAAAGTCAACAAACAAGAGCTTGGTGTCTTCCTCTATCAGTGTTCCTGTGTAAGTAGAGGAAAGTAAAGTAGTAAGGTTACATTAGGCCTCCCGCCTCCCCAGGTGTATGAAAAGCCACATATAAAAAGTTTAAGATTACACGATCCATCAGCCCTCACCATTGGCTGTGCTGTCTAGAAGTGATAGGAGCTACAGTATCATCTGGAGGATCACAGGTTTCTCACTCCCCATTTAAGATGATGAAGACTGATTAAGTGTAGATTTAAAAAAATTGAGATGGAAAAGACTAAGGCTGTAATTGTAAATTCCTTGAAAGCAGTCACTTTAGTTCAATGTGAATGTGCTTATGATTGGGGTATCTATTGTGCACTGTGACTCGTTGCATAGCATCATGGCAAGTCTTATTGAAATGGAGGTAATTCAGATCAACAAATGGTGTGTACCATGTAGGCCATGCCCTCCCCTTTCCACTGATGGCAAGTGAGAAGTGGGCTTACATACCAACATCACTTTGCCCTTGCCAACATCACAAGACCCTTCTCATGCCTGTTGAGCATGCAGGTGGCAGGGAGCAGACCATCACAGCAATTTTTTATACTTGATCAGACTGTTTGTCCCCCTTGCTCAATACCGTCTATTACAAATGACAGCACTTCTGCAAGGCCTCAGGTTAAAGTCCATCCCATAACTTGTCACATTTAGCTAGAGATGCCAGGATTGAACTTGTAATTTCTTGCATGAAAAACATGTGCTCTACCTGTGAGCAATGTCTTTCCCAAGGGGTGTTGTAATTTCGATCAAGGCCATGATGTAAGAGAAAGAGGTTAATGCCTCCTCCTGCACTGCTGTTCCAACCCAAATCAAACCATGAAGGAGTAGGGCATGGATTTATACATCTCTACTGTCAACTAAGGGCCTTGGCAGACAGCTAATAGAGCCATCTTGGAGGCAGGGAAGAGGAGGGGCAGCCGCATGCTCGGCACCCCTTCCTCCTCCCAAGGTTGCCCTCGGAGCAGCCGGCCCTCCACACGACCGGTGCTCCGAGGGCAACCTCCCGCCTCAGTGTCCGCACACGCTGCGGCGGATAAGTCAGTGAAAGTGCGCGCTACGCTTTTGGGGCGCACTTTCACTGACTTCTGAAAGGAGCGCTGATTTAGCGCTCCTTTCAGGGGCGCCGACGGTGCACCATGGTGCGGATGCTGCGGTCCCGCGGTGCACCGTCCTGCGGCGTCCCAGACGCCCTCGTCTGCTTCCCCCCATAGTTTGGCTTGAAGCTTCAGCTTTCTTTCCATTGCAGTAAGACTGAGTACACTTCTGTATGTTCACAAATATGTTGGGTGGTTACATACATTAACTTGCTAATGCTTACGTATTACATTAATGGGGTAGAAAATTGGGAAGGCCATTTTGATATCTCTATCAGGAATGGGAAGACTATCTGAATTTTTTCTCATCCTCTAAAAAAACCCTGCAGCTGTAAAAATGTGGCAGTTATGAAATTTTTGTTAAAAATCAAAAAAAAACCCAAAAACTGGAAAATGCACAAAACTCTCATTATCTTATCCAGTATGAAGAATATTTTTGATATTTTTTTCATTTTAGTGTTCAAGAATAAACTGAAGAAAGATCTTACCAACTCCCCTCTAACTGATCTCGGATAGTTCTGGATCATTATTGTGTCCCTAGAAGTTTTATTTTGTAAAAAATTGGCTGTCTCTTTGTCCCCTATTTCCCTTGTTCTTTTCTCTTCAGCAGGTCAACATGCCATATGTAATGATTCCAGCCTTTCCTCCTAGCCACCAGCCTCTTCCTGTCACCCCAGATCCACAAATGGCACTTCCCATCCAGCCAATCCCTTGTAAACCAGGTATGAAGAAGTCAAAAATTTTGGAATTCTGTGTAATGGAGCACAGGCATCCTGCATGCCTTTGTAATGTTGTCTTGGGATGGGATGGGACAGCTACACCAGACCATATGGTTGATGAATCACTTCGTTAGATTTCAATCAAGAAAAAGTCAAACAAGTCAGAACACTAGGATTTGATGGGTTGTCCCTAGAATAGATTAATTGCATTAGGCCCATGGGGCAGTTTCCAGAGCTTTGGAACCCAATAGCAAGGGCCTCCTCCTTTAACAGTGATGGGGACAGCTGTAACAGTGAGAGGGGCTGTGCTTTGGGTGCCAATGGGCTACCATTGTTTTGGCCCATGTGAGAGTGGGGAGGGGGTGGAAGTCTAGAGAGAGAAGGATGAGTTGGAAGGGATGGGAGAGAACTAATTGTCTCTACATTTGTAACCCAGAAGAAAGGAATTTTCCTGAGGACAGGGATGGGAATAGTATTCAAAAACATCTGGAAAATGGTTAAAAACCCAGTTTCCACAGAAATCTTAATGAAGAGACTCCTAGACTGGATAGAATCTTCACAATTAGGAATTTACTGTGCACAAAATTTGCAGATATTTTGTGCAGAAAGCATGTTCTGTGCAGAAAATAATAACATTCCTTTGAGAATGAAAATGTTTCCTGCAAAAAAATTGTTGTTTACAGTGCAAAAAACAAGTTCACATGCAAATTCTGCAGGCTAATTCCCAAATGACACCATTTTCTGCACAGGAAACAGCAATTTCTTTGTAGAAAACAACGTTTTCCTGTGAAGGGTGAGGAATCCACATGCAAATTTTGAGCAGAATAAATCTTAATCTTGTAGGGCTCCAGGTTGACTCAGCCTTCCATCCTTTTGTAGGCTGATAAAATTGAGTACCCAGCTTGTTGGGAGCAATTGGCTAACACATTGAAAACTGCTTAGAGAATTCTTAATTTATAAAGCGGTATAGAAATATAAGTGCTGTTGCTATCTTGAAGTGCAAATAGTGACAGGTTTCAAAGACTTTCTTGCAGTGGCAAGAAAATTAATCATCACTCATTACTTCCTTTAAGAATGAAATTAGCAAATAATTTATTTATTATTATTTATTCATTGCACTTGGTAGCCAGTGTGGTGTAGTGGTTTGAGCATTAGACTAAGCCTTTGGAGACCAGGGTGTGAATCCCTGCTCAGTCATGGAAACCCAATAGATGACCTTAGGAAAGTCACATTCTCCTTGGGCAAGTCACACCCAAATCTTGCAAAAATAAAAAAATATCAAAAAACAACAAAACCATGATAGATTCACCTTAGGTTGACATAAGTCAGAAACAACTTGAACACGCACAACAATTTATTGCATTTATATGCCACCTTTCTCCCAGTATGGCAATCAAGGTGGCTCACAACAAAACAAAATGAACAAAAGCATAGTAAGAAAATTAAACATGATGAAAATATCACCATTTTAAAAGTCATATATTAAACAATGTTAAGTCATTTAAAGACATACAACATTTAAAATAAGAATACCCCCCCCCCCATAAAATAGATCTATTTGTGAACAATTAGTCTGCATAAACAAGGAGGTCATTGTCTACTGGTGAAAGGAGAGAAAGGGGGAGGGCACCTATTCTCCAACAGAAGGGAGTTCCAGAGGGTGGGAGCTGCCACTGAGAAGGCACTATCTTGTGTCCTCACCAAATGGGCCTGTGATGGTAGTGGGACCAAGATAAAGCCTTCCCCAAGGAGCCTAAGACTTTGGCAGGTTTGTATAGGCAGATATGGTCTTTCAAGTAGTCTGGACCTAAGCCAGAGCTTTATTGTTCAAAATCAGCAATGTTAATTGTGCCTGGAAATGAACCAATAACCAGTGGAGCTGTTTCCACAAAGGAGTTATATGCTCCCTCTGAATCAGCAGTCTGGTCACAACATTTTGGACTCACTGAAATATCCAAATAGTTTCCAATGCACACATAGAGTGTATTACAGTAGTCCAAATGGGATTTAGTCAAAGCATGCATTACCATAGCCAAATCTGGCTTCTTGAGAAATGGGTGCAGCTAGAACACTAGTCTTAACTGTGCAAGTCCACTCCTGGCTACCACTGAAATCTGGGCATCCAGGTTCAGGGTTGAATCCAGGAGAATATCCAAGCTGCAAGCCTGAGATTTCAGGTGGAGTGTAACCCAATCCAGCACAGGATGCATCCCAGTTCCCTGATCTGTCTTTCAACTGACCAGGAGCACCTTTGTCTTGTGTGGATTAAGTTTCAGTGACTACTGACAGATTCAGTTCAGTTCAGAACTGAGACAGCTTCCTTGGGATCTGATGGGAAGGAGAGAGAGTGAGTTTGGTGTCATCAGCATATTGGTGACACTGAACTCCAAAACTCCATACTATATCCCTATCTGGGGATAACCCATATTTACCTGTGATGAAACAGAGATAAGGATTGCAAACTAATCTTAGTGACTTGTAATAATCTGTGGAAATGGAAGGACCAATTGGAGCAGGCATCCCAGAGGGACCAGTGATTGCCCCTTGCCACAAGATGCCATTGAAATTAA